GGTATTGGTTTTGCGTTGAAATGCTGTTCGACATCAATTGTGAATGAGCATTCTGGATAAGAACATTGGACTGGCTGGCCAAACTTCCTTTTTGTATCTTTTTGCATTTTATCCACAAAATCCAATCAGCTCGGTTGGTATCAGAGGCATTGATGTCTTTTGACTATTGAATAGTTCTCTGGCATGACATGCGGAATATTGAATTGACCATCCTGGCCATCTTCGTTTTGGACGTCCAGCGAACACAAATGCAACGTGAAAAATTGAATAAAACCAACACGACCCATCCAAACTCCTATGGAATAAGTTCTTTCTATATACCCTCATCAAGCCCTCAGAATAAGGCCCAACGCACCTCCGCCAAGGCGCCCAAGATCTCTCCCTCCCTAAAAGCAACTTCCCCCCTTCCGCACCCCGAGGCCCCCGGCCATACGGGAAGGCATCCTTGGCGTCCACCGCTGCGTTGGCCGCCAGCAGCACTTTGACCACATCTGCGTGGCCTTTTGCCGCTGCCTGGTGAAGGGGCGTCTGACCTCGGAAGTGCGGCCCCTGGAGGTTTCCGGGGACCGGCGCAGGCGGCGGGTCGGTGAGGCCCGTGGAGTGGAGCGGTTCCAAAGGTCGGAAGCTCGGAGGAGCCGCTATGGGGTCCGTGGACTCCGAGAGACCGGAAAGGTTTTATGGTGGTTTCCTGCATGGAAACCTCGTTGGTGGGAGGAAATCTATCACGAAGATGAAAACCAAAGTGATTTCATTCCATGATGCCATGTGAAAAACTGCTGGTAGCGGTTTGGCGTTGAAATGCTATTCGACATCAGTTGTGAATGACCATTCTGGTTAAGAACATTAAGACTGTCCAAATTTAGTCTTAGTATTTGGTCATCCCTCTCCTACTGCATGGGTGACGCGCGAAGATGTAAGCTACATTTTTCCAGACCACCCATGTGCCAGCACGTGCCATTGATTGCCTCACATCGCCAACTCAATCATGGGCTGAACATCTGCAGTTTGTCTGCTTTACCGAGCACAGACTATGTGGCAGTGGCCAAAGGACTTTTATGTGTTTACATGTATTTGTTGTGACATGTGACACGGGGAAAATGCATGGAAATGTTGGGACACATATTTGCCTCCACGGACTCCACGGATTGAAACATTAATCGTCCAAATGCAGCTCAGAACTGCTGCCTGTTGAATCTTTGCCCTGTCAAGGCCAAAGAAACTACACCCTCCGAGGCCCCTGGCCGTAGCCAAGCACCTCAACTGACTTGAAGGTGGTTAAGTTGCAACTGTTTCATACTGCTTCCATTCCATGCATAGGGAAAACTCTAGGGGCAGGACTAACTAAAATCACAAAGCTGTGTGCCTAAGGTCCTGACCCCCCTCATTCTCGAGGACCTCCGCAATTACATCCGAAATGAACGGGAGCCCTCCGTCGCTGTCAGCAAGTTCCTGGCGGGCTAGGCCCAAAGGCCGGTGTGAGGTGCATGAGCGGCTGACAGCGAAATGGATTGGCGGCATTCCTTCTGGTCTGATGTGCTTCGAAGAAATGGGTCTCAAATCCAGGGCTTAAAGTTGAGTTGAACCTTGCATTCAATCAGTTTCACGTCTTCTCCAGCTCCCCACCCGCGTTGCAACCGACAGAGTTCGCAAGAAATACACCGCCTCCATCTCCCTCAAGCAATTCGACAAACCCAATGGAACCACGCAAACAAATCCTTCCGGCAGGCATCTGCCTTTCATTGGGAGTCACCGTGCGATGATCTTGGAGAATTTATGGGTATGTTTCCTAGTTTTCCCTCGGCCTGGAGCTTTAACCTCCCAGAACGGGTGGGTCCCGCAGCCCAAGTCTGGCCTGGACTTGGACATCTCCCACCAACTTTGCCACAAGCGGAATCTGCAGCAGGGAAGGCAGCGCCCTGCGAAGGAGTTCCAGATCCTCTTCAAAGGCCTCCAATTGCCGAATTGGATCAACCTTCCAAGTGCCCCTGAATTCACTAAATGCATAAAAACCAGAATGGGCCTCTGTTTATGGGGCGGCTCTCATCTGCTATACGGGTTTTAGCTTGTGACTAGTGACTACTTCTATCTTACAGTAGCAGGTCTTCTCGCACGCTCACATCTGGATCATCGAGAACGGTACAAACAATTGCCGTTCAGAAAAAAGATGCCTTTGCGGCATCCTTTCCCAAAAACAGCATCTTTTGCTGTGACAAGGCGGAAACCGGCAAGTGTTGTGGTGGCATATGGTGGCAAGAGGTAAGAAACCAGAAACGACATCTCTTGGTGTCCCAATGGCGTCTTCTTTCCTAATCCAAAGCTTTCAGCACATGTTTCCCCTTGAAACGGCATGTTTGAACGATGACAGTGTCATGCTCCAGTGCATCATTCCAGTGTTGCAAGCGACAGCATCTTGCACTTCTGACCTTCCAAGGTGTCCGGTATCAATGAATTGCCACTGCAGAAGCAAAAACACCAACATCAGGAAGAGGTCAAAGTGCTTAGGAACCACGTGGGCTTCGAAAAATCATAAGGTGAGATCGATCTACGTCAAAGAACGCACATCCAAGGCACCGAGCCTTGATGAAAATTGGTTTCAAGAAACTGCCTTAAAAAGACTAAAATGTATTCTACTTGCAACAACCGGCAATTCCCCGAGGTCCCATGCTCTCACGAAATGAATCCCGACCCTCGTGCAAACCGACACGATGCCAGCCTCGCCTCGCGCCACAGCAGCTTTGCCCTTAAAAAGTCTGGCTTGGACAAGAAGCCCGATAGCTTCTTGGCAAACTTCGGAGCGACTAGATCTCGCAGCGGTCTAAAGAAAACGTTTGTGGCAAGAACCTGCCCAACTGGGATGGCCAGGTTGATCACCCCAACAAACAAGGACCCACCCTCGAGGTAGAGAAAGAAGATCGCGGCCACCCCTTGGGGCACATTCTCCCACAGGAGCAACTCCCTCTTGGTGGGGGTTACTTGCTTATAAAGAAGTTGGAAGAACATGTCAGAAAAATTCTGACAAGACAGGCTCTGACAACATGAGCCATTTGAATCTTCTGGTGTGGGATCTGCAGGGAGCGCCATCAGCGCAGGGAGGTAACACCCAGCCAATTCGGCCAGGGTGTTGTCTTGCCTGAGCAAAACCCCATGGATTACCATAAGGTAAATCCAGCTAGCCACACCAATGCCCTTTAAGAGGAGGTGGTCTGATTGCACACAAAGGCATGAAAAGATGGTGTCCTTCAACGTATCAAAACCATCCGATACAAAGGGCATTAAGTACACAAACGCTGATTCTACAAAGGCTGTCACTGGGAAGGTGTGGTCGTTCGGCAACAGGAGCACCGCCACGACTGCTTGCGCAACCAAACATAGTGCCCCTGCAGGCATGGTTGAATGCATAGGGAAGCAGCGAAGAGTTTCAGGTCCCCGAAGAAGACAGTTGTCTCCGACTCGTGCGAAGTGTGGGCTTTTTGTTGGCCCGATGTCACTGCAAATGCAAAAGGCTGGAAAAGGCCGTTTGTGCTCTGCCGCTGAGACTTGCGCGCGTCATGGAGCATGTTTGGAGGTGTTGGAATGCACTGACTGCGCATTAAAGACTTAGTAGCTTGGGGAGTTGGGGTTTGAAGCTGTGTTCTGAAAGTCTTTAGAAAATCGATTCTGACCGTCCAAAGATCAGAACAAAGCCTCAAACCCCAACCTACACATTCCTGGCCTATGTCTTCGTGATACTTTTTGTGGCAGGCGCAGCACTCTGTGCAAAAGGTGTTCTGTGGGGAGGCACAGTGAATCGTCAAGATGCAATGTCTTGTAAAGGTTCTTGGCGCTGTGCCATTGGTGCAGTGGCAGGGGAGCCATTTTGGAGCCCCAAAAGATGTTTTCCAAAGTGCAGTCTTGCTCCAGTGTGACACTAGAGTCTGTTTCAGGACTGTGACTTGTGATAACCCACGGAAGTGATTTTTTAAGTGACTTAGAGACTCATCGCGAACCCAGGCTTGAAAACAAAAGTTCTTCAAGTTGTACTGTAAAGCGCAATTAACTTCTAAACGCACAATTGTATAATTACACATAATTACATCCTTTTCCCTGCTTGGCTGCTTGGAAAACAGGAAAGAAGCGCTAGAAAAACCAAGGGATGGAAAACCTGCAATTCTAAGACCTGCCTCCCAGCATGAGGGCCGCATACATCTCCCAGTCCAGGCCGGTAGTCTTGTCCAACCGACCGGACTGCAGGGAGTAAATGCAGGTGGCTCCACAGGCGATGGCCGTGCATCCGAAGGTCCATGCGGTCAAAAGCCGCTGAATGTCTAAACTCATGAAGTCATCACTTTGGTCATCTCCTTCGTGCTCCTCTGAGCTCACCCTTGAAACCTCGCGGCTTTGTTTCCCCCCGAGCTCAAGTCGTTCATACCTATGTGATTGCCAGCGGAGGCACTGCCGACATTTCGGTCCTAAATACATGACAGCCGTGCCGAGCAGCGTGGTTATGGCCAGGATCACCACGTAAAGTGCCAGGAAGTAGTGGTCCCGCTCATCTGTCTCTGCCTTCCTCATTGCCTTGATCTGCTTGACCGTCGGTAGGAACTTCTTGGGTTGCCGGACCATCGGAGCATGGAGCCTCTGTCCCTGGAACCACAGGACAGGGGTTTGTATGAACCCAACGATGTCTGGCAGGGCGGCCATGGGGCAAAACGGAAGCGTCGCCAGGGCGACCCGGAGTGGGCGAAAGAGCTAGCTGCTAGCTGCGGCGTATACAGCAACTTCGAGGATCGGAAAAGGATTTGAGTCGACTTGGTAGTTGCCTTAAAACTTCAAACTCTCTCTCTCTCTCTTTTTTCAAAATACCATAGTCCTTCCACAAAGATCCACTCTCGCTCTGCATATGTCATTGCTTCAAACTCAAGCAAACGCATATTGTTTCGCTCCAACTTGCTGCATCTTGACCACTTTCAGGTCTGAAGTTTCTGGGCTGCGGTGTGGGTCGGTTCACCGACCATAGACTTCACCCTTCAGCCTGGCAGCATGGACGGACGACCACCACAGCCCAAGCCCGTCACCCGTCCGTCACCCGTCCGGGGGAGGAACAAAATAACAAACGAGAACTGGCCGCTGAACCGATTTGCGGAAGGGCGGGGTGCATCCTAGGCGCACGAAGGCGTTGTGGCCAAAATATGGCAGAAACGATGGTTTTTCTGGGAAGACCAAGTCTCAGACGGAAAGAGAAGTCAAAACCGAGCCTGAGAGAGTCCCAACGGTCCCAAATCCATCCCAAATCCTTTTGCTGCTTAAGCTCTGAGGCAAATCCTCTCTTTCAAGTTTGGAGGAACGGAACGCGGTCCGAACGAAGGAACCACTTCTGTGAAGGTCCGCTCGGACCGGGTGCGTTGCGACGTCCGTGCACCGAGTCCCTAAACGGACGTCATCGATGTTGAAAATCGTCAGGTGACTGGTCGAAGCAGAATTCCAAAGAATTCCCATTGAGTTCCAAACCACTTCATGCCGTCACTGGCCTGGCATTCAATACATAGAAATCTGGCATCGACTGCGGCACCATTGGCGACCTCATGCAACACATCTGGCTGCGACGTGTGGCTCTAAAAGCGCCACGGTGAAAGCTGTGTTTCAGTTTCGATCCAACTCAGCTGCACAACATGATCACAAACGCACTATAATAAGACTCTTCAATGACTCAACCCGTGTGATGGCATTTCCCCTTTGGAAGGACTTCTCTTTGAAGCTTTCTTTGAAGCTTGAAGCCACTTTGAGCACTCCGCCTTGTGGCATGGGCGGATGAGGCGCCCCCATCGCCTCGGATCAGACGCTCGCGAGAACCCGGTGGTTTGGACCCGGGTGTAACGACCCCGGCGCTACGATCTGAAAGAAAACAATTCTCTCCACCATATGGTCAGATTCACCTCGACCAGGGATGGATCCGGGGCATCCGAATCCGAACCCGGCTTTTGATCTGGACCTCCCAACCCTGGAAGTCGAACCACCATTGTTTTAATAGCCTTTACCGAACCACCATTGTTTTACTAAGGGTTTTACACTACAAAACCAGATCAACCATTTTAAAAATGGTCTTTGACTTCCAGGGCCAAGTTCATCCGATCTTCTTCGATTTTGGGGCTCAAGAAGGTTTCAAGATTGGATCCAACAAGTTCTGTTTTCTCGTGCCTTTTCTCGTAGCTAGTGAATCTGCGGAGCGGCAAAACATCCTTTCTCTGGGGGGGAGAGGGGAGCGGCAAAACATCCAGTCCTGAACGTTCAGCAAAGGGAGTGGACAAAAGGTCTCAAAGGTGGGCTAAAGGTATTGCAGAAGTCCAGAAAGTCTCCTCAATGGCTTCGACGGCGACGGTTCGGCGACGGTTCGGGCTCCAGCAAATGGAAAGCACATGAAACGAAGAAGATCAGAGGAGCTCCACAGGTTCCACCATTTGGGTTCCGTTCTTGACGGATCTGAGGGCTCTGACGAGCTCCACATTTTTCCACATTGTTCCACAGGAATAAATTTGCTACAGCCCCAAAATCTGAAAGGCCACCACCCTCAGCCCCTCGCAGGCATCGCTGCCTTTGGACGTCAAGCGGGTGTCATTGTCACCACGACCTGCACTGTGCAAATGTCGCCACACCGTATTCTCCATAAAAACACACCTCTCAGAATCTAGTGAGCCTACTGCAGCAAAAGCAACTACAAGGCCTTCTGAATATCTTCCACGCCATGCCCACCCGAAAAGGAACCAACCAAAAATCGGCAAAAAAATGGTTCAAACACATCCAAACTCCTTCTCTCGACCTCTCAGGATCGGTCTCTTCTCCATATATTAATCATTGCAAACAGCTCGGTGGTTGCCCCGGCTCCGCCCCCCATGGGTCCATCCGTCATGGTCACATGTTTGACCTATCGTACCGGTGCAGATTCACCTCGTGCTACTCACCTCTCTCTCTCTCTCTGCTACTTACTTCATCGTCAACAACATGCCTTCAATATATAAAACCAAACGCCTCGTCCAACACATCCCCGAAGCACTTCATCAAATGCATCGGAATCGAGATTTTTGCTACAGCCCCAAAAGTCTGCCAGGCCACCACCCTCAGCCCCTCACGGGCATCGTTGCCTTTGGACATCAAGCAGGTGTCATTGTCACCACGACCTGCACTCCGCAAATGACAATTTCTGAATGTATCTTGCATGCCATGGCCACCCGCAAAGGGAACCAAAAAATCGGCTCAAAAACGAATCAAGTTCCTTCTCTCGACCTCTCAGGATCGGTCTCTTCTCTACTTAATCAGTCCAAACAGCTTGGTGGTTGCCCCGGCTCCCCCCCGATGAGTCCATCCGTCATGGGTCACATGGTGCCTCCACCGGGGTTCTTCCTCCCCAACCACTCAGACCCCATCGGATGCAGGGGGGGTCCAAGAGAAGGACATCGCCAGACCTTGACGCGTTGAGTCGGTTCTCGAACTTCGGATTGGGTGAGTAACGTTTTCACTCGACTGGATGATCCACCGTCCGTTCGTCTTCTCATGTCATCACAGATATTCTACGCGGTTGTCATCCTGCCCTGAAAATGTTCGACAAACACCGAGGACAAAAGGTTGGCTTCTGTAGAATGCAGAACTTATGTAGTATAGTATATACGTAAGTGATACTCCTCAGCAATTCTGCGCAATCCCCTCAACTTTTCCATCAAATCACTTACCCTTCAATCTCACAAGCCATGAAGCCCACCAAAGTCAAACTGAAAGGATCAAAACTCGAACCATCAGTGATAGGCCTAATAGGCTATGGAATATCTAAGGAGCTTTTGGTGACCAGTGGCCTGGCTAAGCAAAAGCGTCGACCTGAGGTCTCGGCCTCTCTCCATGACTGACCGCCAAGCGGGTCAGCACCTCAGCCGCCTCAGCGACGGCACCCGCAGTGGCTCCCAGCGAAACCAAAATTGACAAAGGATTAATTACCGGTTGCATCTTCAGAGTCTTACAGAATTCATGAAATCCTGCCCATGGCTACTAAAGGCCCCAAGTCTACAAGGCTTTTCTCAGCCCCCCCCCCGTCGTCCATTCAGGTGCAATCGAAACCTGCAAGTGTGGTCACACCCTATTCCATCTAAGAACCTATTCCCTTCATTCCCCAAAGGGAAATCTCCAAAGAACCATGGCTTCAAGACGGCCATGGCTTAATGCTTCAAGCGATCAAGGCCTTTCGGTTCACACCCTGTGAGGTTCACACCGTGTCTGTCGCGTCTTCCCGGTCAGCCGGTCAACCGAAGCAAAAAGGCTCCGCCACCTGGCATCACATCGTTTCCCTCGACGGAAAACGCACATGCTTGTCCCTTCTAATCCCAAGTGAGGGGGAGGAGTCAAGCTGCCACGAACCAATGGATCTGGTCCAAATTTGTTTTTGCAGCCGTACAAGGACATGCAGAATTCGTTGAGTGAGCTCAAGGAGCTCCCAATTGAGGGAGTGGAGTCACTGAGGACTTGCATGGTTGAGAATGCCACCAACGTCTTGTATACTATACTCCTTTCGCCTCGGATCTAATCGGGGCACCCAGTGGTGAGACAAATCCACCAGAATTCACATTGAACTCACCTTTGCCGCATTGTCTCCCCCCTTTCTTCAAAAAGGACCTTGCACGCCAGAAAAAAAAGGCTTTTCCATAGTTGGGACATCCACCCCCTCCAACTCCCAACTCCCAAAGAAAAACCTTCACACCATGAAGAGATTGGAAGAACTGAGGCTCCCAAGGTCCACCACATTCGCCCTGCTCCGCTTGGAAACTCCGATCCGACCCGAACCCGGCCGCTTCAACCCGAACCCGCCACCGCCGAACGGGGGGCGGACTCCGGTCTCCGCTCTCCGCGCTCCGCTCCTGGAAGGCGAGAAGGAGAGGGCCTCGGCGGCCTCGGCCAAACATCTGGAAGCCCAAGAACATCTGAACGTCATCTCAGCTAGCTGCTAGCTAGTCCCCCTATACAGGTATCCTCCATCTATAGGTATATCCTCCATATAGGTATGCCCTATATGATGTATATAGTCCAATTCGTTCCACGCATGCAGTTCACCGACCGATCGTCTTCCACCCCATCGATGCACCGTTGAAAACCGCAGAAAAAGTCGCACGCAAACGACTTGGTGCCTTGGTGCCACTCTGTCAGCCAGGAGCAACTTGGGGGAAAAGAATCTGTACATCTACCTTCCAGGCCACAGCTTCTGAACGTTTGAGTGTACTTTTGCCTACTTCCGCCCTGTGAAATCTGAGAGCTGCTCACTCTCGTCGTCACGGTGCTCGGGTCACATTGAGAAACAGAAACAAAAAACACAAAAACACACTGTGTATCACACATCGAAACCATCCCAGACCTGTCAAAATGTTGGGCTCCCAGGCTCGATCGGCTGGAAATCGATCTGCATTCAGCAGCTCACCTGCATGAATGCAGCTATGCAGCTGCCCGTTGCTCGACGCTTGGGAAAAGGAAGGCCAGGCGGTAGAAATCTGGAAGCAACCAGACGAGTTACTTGGCTCCCAACCCTAGGAAGCCTTGGACGGAAAGCATCCAGCATCCAATAGCTTGCGGAAAAAGGCCGCGCTTTGGACGGGGTACCAAATCCGAAAACTCCCACCCTGCAGGGCTGACTCTGCAATCCGATTCGGATCCTTTGGAGAACAAACGAGTCA